GGTCTGGGAGAAGCTGACTGCAATGACACCAATGGTGGTGAAGACAACAACTCCCATGATCCCACGCTGCTTCACCACCTCGTCACACTTGTTGTTGTTTTAAGATTACGGTGGAATGTGACTCAAAGACATAAACCAACATCTAATGTGATGTTTTAAAACCAGCACACTGAATCAGAGGAATATTTAGGAAAAATAAGGAAAAACTAAATTTTTATATTTCTTTATTTCTTCAGCAGCAGGGTCATAACCAGGAGTTTGGAAATACTTCCAAAAACATCAGGAAATCTTGACACAAACTGTGACTTGTATATAAGAGGACTGTGAGCATTAAAACAAAGTTGCTGTCTGACTACACAATAATTGCATTAAACATAAGAGGTCATATTCAGGCTGATATTTCCACATAAACTGCACTCAGGTTGCTAAAACGACCTCAGTGTGTCTGTGGAGAGAAACATTCTGAACTGCAGGTCTCTGCATGTAACACACGGCCAGATAAACGCCCTGATGGCCCCCGGGGAACAAGACCCTGCTGGGCCCCTGTTGAGACCCCATTCACTCCCCTCTCTGTGCAGTATTTTTCTCTGCTATCATACCTGCAGCCCTGAACCAGGTATTCTGAAACATGTGAATATACAGTAGTGGATGAGTAAAGAGTAAAAGTAGCAAGGCCAATATAAATAGACTCTGTAACCAGTTAAAGTCCTGCAAAGTGTCAAATAAGTAAATAAAATGTTGCTGTTCTCTCAATGCTATTTCATATCATATTATTGGATTATTATTACTGATGCCAACAGCTTCTTACTGTCGTAGTTGAGGCTGTACTGTTAACTACTCTGTTGGATGGTTCAATACATAAAAGCATCTGGTTTTATGAATAAAATCAGTTTGAATGTAAAATCTTATATGTATAATCTAAAATGTAAAGTAACCTGTGAACAAAATGGAGTAAAAAAGCACAATATTTCTATATGCTGCACCAACGGAGTATCAAGTGACTTTAAACAGGTTTTATTTTCCTTTACTTTCTGACTGTAATTGTGACCAAGAAATTGCTTAAAATGTTTCTAAACTTCTCCTCCACTTTCCTGCTCAACTAATGACAGGTTACGTAATGCTGTCCTGCACAGCTGTGAAGTGGTATCAGAGTTTACAATTAAAGTACCTGAGCACAGTATTAGACCCAATACCTGATACTGCTGTCAGTACCATCCCTGCTCACCATAAATATGTAGCAGAAAATACAAAATCACTTAAGTACATCCTCAATAAATCCAGTCTTCCAACAATGAAATCAACATATAGAGTTTATTTGAACGTTGTCAAGAGGTGGAGGAATGACCTGCAGCCAGATTCAAACCAGTGACATTGTAATTACATGGTCTTTGAGAGAGACTCTTTGATCTCCAATTGTTGCACAGGGTTTTACACAGAGGTGACATAAGAAGCTGCATTTGCTGTGTAAATATCAAACATATTGTTAAACGAATCTCTCATTTATTGAGATCATTTTAACTGTTATTTATCCATTGAATCACCTTTTATTTGCAACTATATTTTATATATATTATATAAGTTTATGCTTCATAGAGCCCTCACAATGCAACACAATAAGTCTTTTTGCTAAAAGTTGCACATTGCTATGCTTTAACTGTGTAAGTGACGGCCATGTATGTGTCTGAATCCTTTATAAGTTTATTGCTCCCTATAACAACTGTTTGTTCTGTGGAAGGAGAGATTTCACTCTCAGCATTACTGCTTATTACTGCGTCCATTTAGCTCTGTTTGTCAGGTTCTTCGTTATCTGGGATTATCTGATGGAAGAACAAAAGGTTGGGAACAGGAATGAATGTTTTAGGATTTGTTTTGGTTTTAAGATACAAGCTAATCCTGCAAATCAGGACCAACAATGTGATTTTACTCATTATACTACTACTGCTCATTATAATATTATTCTCCCTTTTGTCGTCTTTACCTGATTGAGAAGTTATTGATGTCCTCATTATTTTAGATATTTTCTCAGACATTTAGCCTGTTTGGGATCTTCAGCAACGATGGCGTCTCAACTAGAATATAAATTTGTGTGCATTTGAAAAATGTTTGACTGCACAAGTTTGTTGTTGCCATTCAGTATAAAACGTTAAATAAAATACATTTAAAAAACTGGCATTAATTTAATAATGTTATGGAAACTGAACAACTGCCACATTCATAGACAGCCTTCATCTTCATCGGGTGCTTTCAGTGTGACTCTGTCAACACAGTGTTGGCAGCGGTGCACATAAATCAGCTGTCGGGTCGGTCAACACTACCATTCAAACCTTTGTAATTACTTTAAATATATTTGATATGTTATATTGATGTTTGTCCTCTTTCCTACTATAATGGTTATTTGAACAGAGATAAAAATAAAAAAAAACATATATGTATAATTCAGACACTAAATGTATTATATAAGTAGTTTTGGCTCCAAAAGTTTAGTCGATGTCCCACATAAGTGACCCCAGATCATTACTGATCCACAGCGGTGCCTCTGCAGTGGTTAGATTGAAGGTTTAAACTGTGATCTGTATGTCCAGCTGATACAGACCAGCCTTTCTATTTTAAAGATTTAAGAATAGCTTAGCTTTACGTTAATACGTAACGTGAATACGTACGTTAATTCCAGCTTCTTAATCACAGAAACAGGAACCTGCACAGATTTTGATGCTATGCTTCCAATGTTTTTTTTTACAAGTGACTGCTGATGTATTATATTCTTATTTACCTGCTCAGAGGGATCTTTGTCAGTGTCTATACCATGGTACAATGTTTTGCTCTCCTTGTAAAAAACCTTTCTTTTTGTTTAAACCTGTCACACACAATGGCATTGTTTTATAACTTTGTACAACCTAAAAGCGTGAGATTCAGAAATATAGAGTTGTCCTCTCAGCTGTACCCAATCCAGTTTTTGTTGCAGGTGATTCCAAACTGAGGATCTGCAGTGTGTATTCAGAGGGGACAACGAGGGGTTAATGTGACTAAAACATGAAACACAACGTCGGACTTTTGTTTTATGATGTTCTCCTCCTCAGTTCACTGATACTGTCGACTCCCCTCCTCTGAATATCCAGTTGGGGTGGGGGGTCAGTTGGGTCCTAAAGCTCAGTTTTTCCCCAAAGCCCCCTGACAGGTTGATCTGGCCCTGATCTATTCACTTCTCTTCTCTCTTTCTTAATTTTGTCACTGTTCTCATGCTTTTTTCTGTTTGCTGACCATTCGTTTCCCATCTTTGTACATTTCTTGTCGTCTCTCCTGTTGGTTTTTCATTGCAGTAAAAAGTTCTGATGCTCGATAACGTAACACATTCGACTGCAGAGACACACACTCAACAGAAACACAACACTGCTGCTTCACAATAGTTTTGTATGGCTTTATGTTGCTGATGTGTTCCTGTTATTGTGTCCACACCCTGAACCTGCACAGACACGTCTGTACATTCAACTACAGCCACTGCAATGCTCCTCTTTCATTTAATGATGCTTTTGTAAAGATGTAAAGATTTTTATTTTAGTTTTTTTTGCAGGTAATCACCTCTATGTCTTTTCCTTTTTTAACTTCTAACTCAGCCAAACACAGGATTCCGGGGTGTTGCCTCAATCTGCTTTTTCAGATTTAAGGAGGTGGTTCTCGCCATGTGTGGCCACGCCCCCTCAGTATGAGACAGAAACCTCTTCCCATCTGTCCTTGTATGGACTTAACTGCAGCAGAAATTCCACCAATGACACACCTGCTGCTGCAGAGGAAGTTAAGTCATGCTGAACTTTACTGAGCTTTACAGATTGAGACATTTACCTGAAGGATGCAGGGACCGGAGACTCTGCAGAAATAAATGATACGCTGATAAAATGTGATGCAGTAAAGAGTCAGAACCCCAAAATCCTTAAATGTCATGAGCTGGAAAGAGAAGTTCACAGCGTCTTTAAACTGATTATAATATTATGATATAATATCCCTAATGAGCGAAGGAATACTTTAACCCTCTGGAAGAAAGCCAGTCTTCACAATGAATATTTTAACCTTTGAATTTTAACTAAAATATACTGGTGATTCTTGTATTCCTCTTACTAAAGACATTGTGCTGCTGTTTTCCTTATATGGATTTAACTGCAGCTGAAATTCCACCAATGACACACCTGCTTCTGTGGAGGGTTCCTGATGTATACTTCACCTTTACATAACATTTCCTGAAGGATGCAAAATACACATAAGCTGATAAAATTATTATTTAATTTGATTTGATTGGATTTTTGTGTCATGCACACAAAGTGCCCAACCCCTAGGACACCACAGCTACAGCTACAGTGGTCAAACATTACATTTAATTGCAAAATTCCAGATTATTTTACAGCTCAGTCTTAAACAAAATATTCCTCCTTCTCTCCTAAGCTTGGGAAAAGGCTCCCTTCCTTTTCACAATTCAAGTTTTTCATAATCAACCAGAAGAAATCATCATAAATGGAGGACATTTTAATTATTAAAAACTACATTCCTTACATTCTTGTATACAGAGCAGCAAAACAAAATATGAACTTCTTTCTCAGTTTTACTTCGAGATCACACAACAAACGTTCCTGAATGCAACTGTGCACATAGAGATCTTTGTCTTTTGTTTAAGTAACACTTCACATAAGGTTTTATGTATTCTTTATGAGACAACAAGTTCATGACTTTGGTTTATCCCATATATCAACAAACCATTTTCTTCTATACATGAATCTGCTGAATGTCACGGAATGAACCGGTTGTGGAAAATGAACGACAAATTTTACGTTTATATCTGTTTGGAGGTTCCTGTATCTCCACTGATGGCCAAAACTGAGTCAGTTTATGGATGCATAAAACATACACAGTGGTAGAAAGTACATTAACTCACACATCATACTTAAGTAAAACATTTTGACTCTATTTTACTATCTTTTTTATTGTACTTTTTACTCCACTACATGTTACTTTGCATATGAACACAAAAAACATGTTAAACTGCTCAACAGCATATAAAGTACCTTCACCTCCTACACAATTCAAATGCTGCTTACATGTCAATGCACAATAATTAAAACAATAATTAACAAATAATATAACAAATTCCTCATAATGAGTGCTTTTACTTCTGATAATTTGAGTACATTTTACTTGGAATTTTTAATGCAGAACTTTTACTTGTACTGGAGTATTTTACAGTGTGTTATTGCAATATGAGTAAAGTGAAAGAAAACTGAGTGTAGAGTATTAATATTATATATACATCTCAGCAATTGTGAGGAAAGTCTTTCTTCACTTTAAAAGCAACTTTATTTATAAGAATAAATTATTTATTTCACAATCTGAAAGCAGCAGTTTCACGATTTCGACTGAAGTTCAGGATTTGCATGCAGTGAAGTCACGGCACCAGTCTGCCTCGGCATGCTGGTGTGGAGCCCTGACCTGTGATCATCGCCCTGCAGTCAGGCAGAGTCGACATTGTCCGCATTCTCCGGCTGGTTCGGGCCTGTTCAGAGAGCCGGAGGAGTGTCAGGCTGCCAAAGCACACGCTGATTAACATGCAGCAACACAAAGACCAAAAAAGGTGAGAACACAGGAGAAACTTCCTGGCTGGATGGGAATCCTCCGTCTGTGAGTCCTCGTCAAAAACCAAACTGATTTTTATGAAAATCAACATGCGGAGACTTGAAATGTGCAGCAGAGAGATAATCAGTCATGTCTGCCTTTATCTTTGTCAGAGTTACATTTGTGTTTCGTAGTAATGCAGAAGAGAATCAGTCTGAGAGAGAATGAGGACATGCTGACTGACAGAGATTAAATGCAGGTTTCATGTCTCTACAAGTTGATTTTCATGATAATGAACTGAAACTAATGGCTGCAGAGGAGGAAGGAACAGTTCATTCAGAAAATGTCAAATGGTTAGCGGTAAGTGCCACTGTCTCTAAAGTGACAGCTTTAAATAGCTCAGATTCTTTTCAACTCAGATACAATAAATTGAGGTTTGGGGCTTAATTTTCATCAAAATGAGTAAAACTTTATTCATTAAGTATTTTTCAAAACCTGTGTAAGAAAATAAATCATGTAGGGCTGCAACTTCTATCTATTTCATGATCAATTAATCTGCAAACTATATTTTAATGAAACATTTCATTCTAATTCTTCTAGTCCTTTGGCCTATTAAAGCACTGTAGGATTTAGTGATATTTAGTGTGAGACTGCAGATTGTAACCAGCTGAAACCAAACCCTCTAAATCGCCTTCTAATCACATAGTTGAACTTTTCTCAAATCTGACAAATGTAAATGAACCTTTATTAGAGACAGCTGCTGTTTAATTCCTCCAATTTTAGATTTAGTAACAGCCAATTGTTTTTTGATCTCTAGGGCCTTTTGCATTTTTCATGAGTTCTTCAGTTTGCAATCAGCAACTACACCGCATAATCTCTACTAAATCCTACACTTTGGACCTTTAAATAAAAGATCTGAGTGGTCCTCCACCACTGGTCATTATAAAACAACAGTTTAGCCACAAGGAAACATGAACTGAGACTGTGTGTCAACCTCTCAATCTCTGTTCCTTATGGGTGGATGAGCCCAGTCTAACCTTCAGCAGCACCTCTCCAGTGCCCCCTACTGGCAGAATGTAGCACTCTTTAGTGTGTGCAGAACATTGAAAAGTGTCTCTGCTCACAGTTTATACTGTTAAAGACAAAAGCATAAAAACAAAGTCAAGAATGAAATCTTCAGCATGCTATAAATTGGCAGGTGAAAGGTTAACTTAAACTTTAAGCTATCTGACTACAGTGAGCGACCACTAACGAACACAGAGAAGAGACAGACTCACAAACGATTGAAGAATTGGCAATATGCAAGTGTATATCTTGAAATATTAATCAATTTAACAAATAATGATACTAATTATTTTGCAAATAAAAGCTCCTATAAATCTTAAACAATGGACCTTTAATTTATTGATCATAAAACAGTTAACAGATCTGCAGCAGTTAGTTAGCCAAGGTGCCAATCACAGGATCTGAGTCTACAGATTTTGTATAAATACTGTAAGAGACTCCAACAACCACTCCTTTCTTAATTTAACTCCCCAAATAGTCCAAAGAACAAGCTACTATATTAGCTCAACCCCTAACCTAAGAAGAACTCTAAAAGCACAACTGGCCACTGATATCTTCTCTATTTCATAGAATAGTCAATGAAATCAGATCATCAGCATCCGTACCCACAAACATGAACACAACCCTCACCTCCAGCTACAGACCAATACGCCTGATTAACTGCAACCTAAAGATAATTAGTAAAGCATTAGCTAACAGTATTAGAAACAGTAATGTAACCAGGTTAAACATATTGTGCACTGTAATAGATTGTTATATATGTTTGTGACTTGATTAAAAAACCTATAGCATTTTTTATTATTATATATTATATTATATTAAGATATACAATAAATATGGCTAAAAGCAAGATTAAAAAGATACAGTGTTATAAATATGTTTACAGTTATATTTTATTTTATTTTGAAGAGCTCATGAGGAAGTGGTAGGAGTAATACTGGTCATTCATTGGTTGAGCTGTGTGGATCAGAGAGACGTGTGGAACGAGGAAGTGAGACTGATTGTATCACTGGATGCCAAAAAAGCTTTTTGATAAAGTGAACTGGACATTTCTTTTCAAGACTATCATGAATGTGGTTTTGTGGAGTTGTTCAGTCAGTGGATTAAGATTCTCTACAACTCCACATTTGCATCAGTTATAACCAATAATCGTACCTCTCAACACTTCACACTGCAGGACTGCTGTGCTTTTCTTCTATTTATAATATGTGGACAGAGAGAGAAGACAGTCTTTTATCCAGACTAATAAAGTGTGACTGGACTCACCTGGTGCTGCAGCCGCCATGATGTCAGTGTGCTGGAAACATCAGAGACTCATTCAACTGAAGACCAACTGCTGCTTTAACAACCTGAAGGAAGAAGAATTAGAATTGAAATGATCTTACTCATTCACACAGCAACATGTTTGTACAGAGCAAACTGCAGAGTGTCAGTCAGCTTCACAACCTCAGTGGGGATTCAAACTAGCAACCTCTGATTACAGCAACAATGTGAAAGCCTGTGAGAAAAAATCACTGAATTTGATTTATTTTAACTACTAAAGCGATACAGGCTTTATAATGTGTGATAACATGTTGCTTTAATGAGTCCCAAGACTTTATTAATAAATAAAGATGATCTAATTTACCTCTGGACCATCCTTAAGATACCAAAGGAGATAACGCCGTCCCACAATTCCTTGCTGCAGTAACATTTAAAAGTTAATACAAACAATTAAAATGACCAAAAAACTATGCAGATCAACTTTTGCCATAACTTGTTAATATGCTTCTATGTTTGAACAGACGCTACTGTTGTAAAATCTACTTGTTATGAAGTTGTGATCCTGTGTGAAGCACTTTGTAACGTGTATTAACATTATTATAATAAAGTGAAGTTTATACGTTGCAGTGTAATGTAGTGTTTGTTTAGTTATTCCTTATAATATACTTTGTGGTACTGCAGCCTTTAGGAATATCATTTAATAATTGAACTGTTAAACTTAAGAACGATCAGAGTTAAGTGGGTTGTACGCAGGTTTCCACATAAAGGAATCTGTCTCGTTATCTTGGTACATAACAATAAACTGCACGTCAAGAAGCATAAATACAAAACATTTGACAGAACAATAATATATGAAAGATATTGAAAAGATATCATAAGACATTATGTACACAATACCATCGTATAACCACTTTAATTTTAAGAAACTGAAAGATGTACAGTTTGGTGCAAGGAATCGTTATACACGAGATCACAGCTATAAAGAATAAAGGAATAACCAAATTGTGCCCCATAAGTGACAATAGTTGAATTAACCTACCTACCACATGACATGTCAACCTGTAATTAATCTTCTCCCTATTAAGAGTATAACAACTTGACAAGTTACAGTCATAATGTTATATTTAACTGCCGTTAGTCCTGGGGAACCATATACTCTACAATCCTATGGATTGGTAGAGTCATATATCCTCCATAATGAGATTACATGGCGAATAGCAAATGATGAACTAAACAGGGAAAGGATCGGAGGGGAAAAAGCACTTTTAGGAAAGAAGAGATCAATTAAAAAATAGCGAACACTGCCTCTGTATTGACAATTTGCATCACTATCCACTCCATCAGATTTAAACTGGACCACAACAAAACAATAGAACCCCAGTAATGAAAAAACACAGTAACTCCTACCTACAAATGAGTGGAAACAATACAAAATGTTGTCATTTTAAACTTCACATAATAGCAAATAAACAAAACTCAGGCCACACCCCATAACCAAAGAATAAACTAATAAAGTACCCAAGAGTAAATGAAATGAAATATATATATTTCCCATTTATAATCTCCATCCCCAGTAGTTATAAAATTTAATTAAATATACTTAGATAACCTCATATAGCAGATTAACCAACAGAATTATGTTTTCCGCCATACTTACTGAACACTCCGCTTCAGTAATTATAATATTTTTACCATTCTTGGTGCAACGGGGCAGCACATCTATGTGGAGCCCCTGCAAAATACGAACAACAAACCGCTCAGACCGGCATAAGACAACAACCCAAATCGCCCGCTATAAACAGCCCAGACGTCATCAGATTTGGACGTTCGTTCGGTCGATCACTAAGTAGCACAGAATTCCACAAACCGCTACGGTATAAAACCCAATAACTTTCAAACCACCTAACCACCAAAAAAATGCAAAGATTAGTTAAAAAAAAAAAGAATTAATAACGAGATACTTTAAACCAATACATTTCACATTTATATGGACAGTACCAAACCCGCCTTATAATAATGTATCTTCATGAGTATTTTTAAATTTGTAAACCAGTAACCATTACATGTATATACATGAATCAAGATGAGACCCCCATATTGTATAGGTGTGTGAGAGTTTGAAAAAACTAGATAGAGTGAAATAATATATTAGAGCCAAACTATTTTGATTCCCATACCATCGGATCGATCTATCCCGTTAGATAATTGCTTAAACACAGAATCGGCCAATAACAAGTGATTTTAGAAATAATTTAACTACTGTTATTTTTTGGATCTGGACTGCAAAGTAGCACCGATATTCTTTGTTGAATAAACTTCATAACACCACCTATTGCTGCATTTAAATAAACGTTAACAAATCTCCT